CATAGCTATTACAGTTCCCTTGACATACAATATTATACAACATCAGAATTATATTCCTCGAATATTGTAGTTACGTATTTATGCTGTCTAACCCCTTCCCCTTCTCCCTCATCCCCACCCCCTCCCAACTAGCAGCCATCAATTGTTCCTCTATATCTCTGAGACCACTTCTGTTTACTTTGCTCGTTCATTCAATTTTTTAGACCAAATATTTCTTGATAGAAAGATGACTGTTAGTAGGATGAAAAAGAGACTATTTCCACCACTTTAATCAAGAATTAGGAAGAAAAGCAAGCAGGGCCACATGTCAAAGGCAGAAATTAAGCAAACCACAAGCAGCATATATAAATGAAAACAAACTAAATCGACAAAAAGCCCCAAAACACAGATCTGTGATACTAAAATTGTAAATGAAATAAATGTACCTGTTAAATGAAAAAGACATTCACAGTCATTTAAACAAGGGAACCCCTACTGCCTATACTCCAAAAAACAAAAGGCCCAGAATAAAAGTTAAAAGTTGCTACAAACATACCGGGCAAACAAAAACAAAGCAGAGACTGAGGAAGAAATGCCTGGGAAGGCTGAATGCAAGGCAAAAAGCACCAAAATGGGCAAAGAGAGTAACTGTGTTAAAATGATCAAAGGTACAAATACAATGAAGATATACTTCAAATAGACCTCTATGTGCCCAATGCGATGACATTGAAGTGTCTTTGAAAGCAGGAAAGTACAAGGAGATGCGTCCATAGGTTTTCCCCTAGGAAGGAATTAACAATAGAGGTGCTAAGGAACAGTCAGCTTCTTACAGACAGTTGGGGGTTTCTGTAACCCCCAGCTAACCGGGCACCTCCCTGCTGCCCTCCAGAAACAGGGGCCCTGGGCACTGAAGGGCGTGCTCTCCGTTCTGCCACTGAAGCCGCTCCGCAGGTGGATGTGGGCCATCTTCTCCTTGACTTCTACGTAGCAGGACTGCTGCCACCCATCTCCATGTTTCATTTCTCTCCCGGGCCAAGAGTGGCAAGGGGGATTGCTTTAAGCTTCCTAGAAGACATTTAAAGTGTTGTCAGGCCACCTATGGTTGGTGGCAGCAAATGGACGGTCTCTTGGGTTCTCATGTCTTAGCACGAGGCCACCAAGGTCATGCAGGATGCCATCAACGAGTTCAGTGGCACGCCGGAGGAGATCCGCATTACCATTGCCAATGTGGACCTGGCCCTGAGCAAGGGGAACGTGGACATGGCACTGAGCGTGCTGAGGAACATCACGCCCCAGCAGCCCTGCTACACAGAAGCCAAGGAGAAGATGGCCAGCATCTACCTGCACACCCGCAAAGACAGCCGCCTCTATATCGGATGCTACCGGTAAGCCACAGGTAGCACACTGACAGCCTCTTCTCCGGCGGTGTTTCAGGGAGGGGTTTCTCCAGACTGTGTTTCTTCATCCCGAGTCTCTAGAATGTGTCCTGAGAATGTGTCTGACAAAAGTATGGAATTTCCTGTGGATTAGAATTTTATTAATAGCGTGATAGGTCAGCCAGGCTGGCTTGTTGCCGAGCTCTGAGGACACTGAATTGAATCGGCCATGAGCCCTGCTCACCACACCCCCACCCCTTTGTATGGCTCACATTCTGGGGAGAATCGTGGGAATGCACTTCTGCCCTGGCACCTGACTTTGCCTGTCATTGAGGAAGCGTCCAGTGACTTGGATGTAACCCATGTTAGGTAAGAGAGGACGGAGAACAGATTTGAAGCCCCAAGCCACTGTCTCTATGATTTGACAGTGAGACCTTGAGGGTACCTTCCCACACCCTTTTCTCAGGCAAATCTCCATCTAGGCAAGCCAGGTGAGAGGGGAGTGCTGGGCGGAGGGCAGGGGAGGCTATGCCAACAGCAATGGGAAACCAGCAAACAGTGGGGTGACATGGTCAGATTGGAGTTCTGGAAAGAGCAGTGTGGCTGCTTCATGAAGAGGGGTGTGGAGGTTTGGGAGTGGAGGCCTGAGGAATGGGTGGAGGCCCTGGCCATGGTCCAGATGACAGATGGAGAGAGCCTGGATTAAGGTAGCTAGCACAATGCCTCCTGCACAGTGGGCGTTCAATGAGTATTGGATGATGAATGAATGAATGAGTGGCTGGATGAATGAATGTCAGCCAGAATTGGTGGGAAAGAAGAGAAGGAGATGGATTCAGGACTATGAAGGAGGATGCACAGGTCTGAGATAAGCATTTGGTTACTTTTGCAGGGAGCTCTGTGAACATCTGCCTGGCCCCCACACCAGCCTGCTATTGGGCGATGCTTTCATAAACATTCAGGAGGTGAGCGAAGGCCTCGTGGCCTTGCCAATGACTCCCCACCTCCCGCAATCTCACTTCTCCAGCGGGAGAGGAGAGAGAAACCTCTGACACTTCCCCTACCAGCCCGAGAAGGCCCTGGAGGTCTATGACGAGGCCTACAGAAAGAACCCACATGATGCCTCCCTGGTCAGTAGGATTGGGCAAGCTTACGTGAAGACGCACCAGTACCTCAAGGTCAGGCTGGGCGGGGTGGGAAGGGGAAGGTGGAGGAGGGTGCGTGAGTGGGAGGTCTGGATGGGAGGGGATTGGCTGACTTTCCCCCCTAGCTCCCTGCTGAGTGGGGTGCCAAGGGGAGAACCCAGCAACTCTCCAGCACCCCTCACACCTGCTCAGGCTGGGGAGGGCCTTTTCATCTTAGGCTCCCCTGTTCTGGAGGGAGACTCGGCTCTGGTGGCTGCTGAGGGGAACACAGTGTGAGGTACTCAAGTGTAGAACGAGGCCTGATGCCAATATTTCCTGTTTGCACTAAGGCAATGAATTATTACGAGGCTGCCCAGAAGATAAGTGGACAGGACTTTCTGTGCTGTGATCTGGCTGAACTGCTCCTGAAGTTAAAGAAGTTCATCAAAGCAGAAAAAGTTTTGACGCAGGCACTGGAGCATGACTTTGGTGAGGCAGCCTTCTAACTCCCTCCCCTGGCATTTGGAGTGGGAAAGCTGCTCCCACCCACTCTCTTCTCTTACAGAACGGTTTACGGGATAGGCATCCCCTGTCCCCATCCCCAGATTCCCGGGGGCCAGAGAACACTTAATTTGAGTTTCCATTTTTGCAGTCAAAGACATCCCGTCCATGATGAATGATGTCAAGTGCTTACTTTTGCTGGCAAAGGTTTACAAGAGCCATAAAAAACAAGATGTGCTGGAAACTTTGAACAAGGTAATTGACAAGTAAACTCACGCTCATTATCCGCCGTTTTCTGATAGAAGCTGAAGAAGGAAGAATAAGACTGCAAGTCTGGAAGACTCCAGGCCTGGTCCTCAAAAGATGACCTAGGTTACACCTCCGAGCTCCACCTTCCGTTTATTTCCCCAGCCTTGCTTCTTCATTGATGGTGCACCAGAAATGCTCCAAGTCTGTCTGGGCTGGGCTGGAGAAAGCAGGGAGTAAGACAGTGCTTTTGTCCTCAAGGATGCTCATGGTGGTGATAACAGACAAATCCCATAGCGCCATGCTGGCTTCGGTTCTAGGCCTTTTGCTTTCTTACTTCATTCTCACAGCAGTCCTTTGAGAAAAGCACTGTGACATTCCTACTGAACAGATAAGGCACGCGAGGTTTAAGAAATGTGCCCAGAGTCACACTGCTGGTAAGTGGTGGAGCTGAGATTTGAATTAAGTCCGGCCTGTCCCGAGCCATACTCTTTCCCCAGTGGGCTGCCTCCGATGAAACAGCTCCTGGCCGTTCCCGCCATACCTTCCGCACTCTTTCTATCCAAGGATGCAGCCTGTTGCTTGTTTCTGGGGTACGTTCTGTGGTTGTGGAGGGAAAGCCCACTCTCTGACTACTTGGCTTAGTCCCTTGTTTCCCACGGGTTCCCATTCCTCTGTTTGGCCTTCAGGGAGCTGAAGGCTTGGTCTGTGCCCTGTTTCTGAAACCTAACCCTGGTGTCATCATTGAAAGCCTCGATGCTCTCTGGTTACTCACTTGGTCACTATATATGCCGTGGACATTTGTGGGGGCTGCCTCAAATTCCTAACGGGGCACTCTTCAGAACAAATGCATCCATCGAAACACAGCCTGCTTTGAATACCTACTGTGTGCTTGTTTAGCCCGTAGGACAGCCGAAGCAAATGAGACATAGTAAGTGCCAAGGTGTGATGGAAATAGGTGAACAAGTCAGGTACAATAGAACATTTTGTTTGAGTGCCTTTGCTTCTGCTCCTGCCCCGGAGGCAGTGCCGGCTTGCCTCCCGAGTACTCAGCCAGTGGCCTTGCCTGTTCAGAGTGACCCAGATTTGCTCAAGGGCTCTTGAGATGCCCTTTATAACACTCCAGGCTCTGAAATGAGAGGCGGGGACTTGGTGTGAATGGGCCTGAGGCCTGGCACATCTGGCTCTAGCTTTCTGATCCTGAGTTTACTGGTTCCCCAAGGCCAGGGACCTTCAGTCTCGGATACTGAAGCGTGTTCCCATGGAGCAACCAGAAATGATCGCCTCCCAGAAACAACTGGCAGCCTCCATCTGCATCCAGTTTGGGGAGCACTACCTGGAGGAGAAGGACTATGCCAAGGCAGTGCGGTCTTACAAGGATGCCCTCTCCTACTCACCCACTGACAATAAGGTACGGTCCTCAAAGCCAGACCCTGCTCCTTCTCCTGGGGTACGATGCCCTGCAGAGCTCCCTGACCAGGGTGGAGTCCAGTTCCTTCTCTGTGCCTCCCTGAGGAGCTCAGGTGTACACCTGGTATGGGGACCCCTGGTGTGGGGAGCCTACTCTAGTTGACCCCCCCAGCCCCCAACCCCACAGCGCTTGGAGCATGGCTGGGAAACCCCACTTTGGATGGAAGATGAAGTGGGGAAGACATTACTGAAAGTCATGTTAGTCGGGTGTCTTCACGTCCCGCTTGGAAGTGGGGAGACAATGAGAGTGTGGCTGCCAGGGGCTCTTTGGGCTAAGCTTCCAGGGAGGTTCAGAGTCGAGAGGGAGATGTGGCTCCAGATAGGAAGTGGCAGCTGGAGTTTATGCTAAGAGAGTAAGTGAAGGGCTTAGTGACAGACCCGTTCATTCATTTAATGTGCACTCATTTAACAGATTTCCAATACGTGCCAGGTTCTATGCCAGGCCCTGTAGACACAGTGGAGCAAGACATGGTCCCTGCCCATAGATTGCCCTCAGGCAAGAGGGTATAGACAAGTACATGTGCAGTTCTAATACCATGTGATCTGTGCCTGTATGTGGGTCAGGACACTACAGGAACTCTGAAGAAGGGTACCTGCCCAAGAGTCTGGGGCACAGAGAGCTTCCCAGAGGAGGTAAGGTCAGAGCCGAAGCTGAAGGAAGAATACGAGTTAACTGGCCCCCAACTTTCACAGGGTAGTTAGTAAAACGCCTGGTATGACTGGAGTATTGGGTGGCAGAAGGCAGGGGGACTATTATCCCAGAGGTTTCAAGACGTATTTTGAAGGCAGAGCTGATAGAAACAGTGTGAACGAACAAGGCATCAGTGCCTGAGTTTCCCCGTGATGTTCGTTGGTTAGTTTATTATCTTTGGTCTTGTGCCAGGTGATGCTGGAGCTGGCACAGCTCTACTTGCTCCAGGGGCACCTGGATTTGTGCGAACAGCACTGTGCCATCCTCCTACAGACCGAGAAGAACCATGAGATCGCCTCCATGGTGAGAGGACCCCTGGGCCTCTTCCCGGCCCTCCCCAGGGTCCCTGCTTCCTAGCCCCATAACCTCGATGCCTGGCTAACCATCCCTGAGCGGCTGCCATGCAGATGGGAGGCTCCGCGCGGACCTGCCATCCTTCAGACTGGAGGGGTGGGCTGGCAGCAGAGGGCAGCATCCACCTCCTGGGCCAACCTCGGGGAGGCAGTGAGGTTGATTCACTCCGGGGGACACCACACCCACTGTCAGTGCACGGGAAAGGCCCCTCCCCGGTCCTACTTCTCTCCTCCCTATCACCCACACCACTTCCAGAGCCACCCGGCAGAGGAGGGGAGCCCCATTCTACCTCCACTGCTTGGAGCAGGCCGTCCTCAGACATGGGTAAAGGGGCTGGTTCCACTACCCGTCGAAAGGCCCCACTGGTGTGTCACCCTGGCCTTACCTCCCCACTTCCATCCTCACCCCAGGCCTGCCCCCTCCCCCCAGGCAGGCCCCACCGTCTGGACTGTGGCAGCTTCTCGCAGTGCCCGGTGAGGCTACCTCGGAAGTCTGCTTTCACCTTCCGTCCTTACCCCCCTCCCCTCCAGTCTCCCCCGACGCCCATGCAAGCTGCTGTCAGGAATTCTGGGGCACTGTGTGTTTTCTCATAGATGATGGCTGACCTGATGTTTAGAAAACAGGAATACGAAGCTGCCGTCCATCTCTACCACCAAATCCTGGAGAAAGCGCCAGGTAGTGCTTGCATGGAGACTGCCCACTGAGACTGCCTGTGTCAGTTCCCACCAAGCAAGGGCTGCTCTCCCCAGAAGGGTGGGCCCTCTCCCCTCCTTCCTGACTGGGCAGAGGCAGCCCCTTCCTCTCTGATTGTTCCCAGGGAGGCAGGAAACTGATAAAGCCCCAGTGGAACGTGCTGGTCCTTCTCGAGTCCAAGGGGCCAGTTCCTGGTCTCAGGCAGGGCAGTTCTTGGCACAGGACCCAGGACAGCCTGTCTGTCCCCAAATCACAGACACTGGTCCCCTTCTGAGGTCACAGCCACCTGGAAGTAGATAATTCTCCCCTGAAATGTAGCTTCATTGCCTCTCACTACAGCATAAAACCACCCCCTTCTTGCTGGGGAGGGTGTCAGACACAGCAGCCCCACAGCAGAGTCTGCCCAGAGGCCCAGCCGATCACGGCTGCTGGGAGTGCGGGTCCCGGAGCCAGACTGTCTAGGTCCGAATCCTGGTATTCCACTTATCAGCTGTGTAACCTTGGCAGATTACTTACCTTCTTTGTGTCTCATTTCCTCATCTGTAAAATGGGAACAATAAGAGTAACTACTTCATTGTATAGTTAAGGTACAGGTAAAACGCTTAATACCGTCTGCAATGTAAGTGTTAGCTTTTATGGTTACTACTTTTCAGCATCATTACTGTTATTCTCTCAACACCGGAGACCCATGGAGACACTGGGGCCGCTGGAATGTGCCTGCTCAGCCCAGGTGGGCAGTGTCTCCTGGTCCTACCTGCTTCTTCCAGCCTGGAGATCTCTGCTCTCTTATTTTAGATAATTTCCGCATATTGAATAAACTCATCGATCTGCTACGAAGAAGTGGCAAACTTGAAGATGCCCCTGCCTACTTTGAATTGGCCAAGAAGCTGTCCAGCCGAGTGCTTTTGGAGCCAGGGTTCAATTACTGCACAGGCATCTACTGCTGGTGAGCTGGGAGTAGGTGTGTCGGGCAGGTATGGGCTGGAGGCTCTCTCTAACACACACCCTGGGCTTTTGCTCAGTGCTAGGGAAGCAGAGATTCAGCTTCCAGACCAGAGGACAGGGGTACCAGTGACCCAGGCCCTGCTCTGTGCTGACCCGTGGAGTGGCCCCTGTGTATCCCTGCACTCCCTGGGCCTCAGTCTCCCCATCTGAAATTTAGTGTTTCTCTCCTCTAGGCACATAGGGCACCCCAAGGAAGCCATGAAGTTCCTAAACAAAGCTCGCAAGGACAGCACTTGGGGCCAGAGCGCCACCTACTACATGGTGCAGATCTGTCTGAACCCAGACAACGAGATCGTGGGCGGAAAGGCATTCGAGAACCTGGTGTCTGAGAGCAAGTAAGGGCCCGACTTGGTCCCCAGGGGCAAAGGCGGGACTCCGGGGAAGGCGGGGAGAGCCTGCGGCCTCTGGGCCCAGGCCAGATGAGGGTGGCGTGGGCAGGCTGGTGGCCTGCGGCTGGCCCAAAGTCCGCAGCTCCCCTGGTAGGAAGGAGTCGGAGCAGCAGGAGGGCGTGCGGACCGCGGAGAAGCTGCTGCTCGAGTTCTACCCACACACCGCCTGGGGCCAGACCCAGCTGCAGCTGCTACAAGGCCTCTGCCTGCTGGCCACCCGAGAGAAGGCGAACGTGGAGGCCGCGCTGGGCACCTTCATCAACATGGCCCAGGCCGAGGTGCACTGGCTGGCGGAGGAAGGGGGTGGGGGGCAGGGGAGGCTGAAGATCCCAGCTCAGAGGCCTGCTTCCTGCCTCGTGTGCAGAAGGACAGCGTCCCCGCGCTGCTGGCCGTGGCGCAGGCCTACATGCTGCTGAAGCAGATCCCTAAGGCGCGCACGCAGTTGAAGCGTCTGGCCAAGGCCCCATGGGCGCTGGCTGAGGCCGAGGACCTGGAGAAAAGCTGGCTCCTGCTGGCCGACATCTACTGTCAGGGCGGCAAGTTCGACCTCGCCACCGAGCTTCTGCGGCGCTGCGTGCAGTACAACAAGGCGAGGGGCGCGCTGCCGTCAGGGTGGCCGGGGTGGGGGACGCCGGGCCAAGGCAGGCCAGGAGGCTCGAGTGGCGTTGAGGGCAGAGCAGATGCGGGGTAGGAACAGGATGAGAAGAGCAAGAAGGGAACGCGGAGTACGGGGCAAGGCAAGAAGAGACGCACAGAGCCTGACAGCCAGCAGGGAACACGGAATGAGGGAGATTAAGCAAGGGCTCAAGAGTCCAGGGGCCTGCAGGGGTCAGTCGGGCCAGGAGGGGCGTTTGGGCAGAAAGGCTGCGGGTGCCCAGGTGCTAGGACCAGATGGGGCTTCCTCTCCGTAGAGGCTCTGACCAGCTTTCTCTGCAGTCCTGCTGCAAGGCCTATGAATACATGGGCTTCATCATGGAGAAGGAGCAGTCCTACAAGGACGCCGCCACCAACTACGAACTGGCCTGGAAGTACAGTCACCATGCCAACCCTGCCATTGGTAAGGCAGCCAGCCAAGGTGCACGTGGGCGCGGGAGGGAGCCGGGCAGGAGGACCACCACCCTGACGCCAGAACCCAAGGCCTGTATGCTGGCTGTTGTGGGAAGCAGAGGGGTTCTCAGGTCATCAGGGTGCCACCCACCGTCTGTATTCTCCCTGTCCTTGGACAGGCTTCAAGCTAGCTTTCAACTACTTGAAGGACAAGAGATTCGTGGAGGCCATTGACGTCTGCCACCATGTAAGCCACTGACACTGGCAGGGAGGGCTTGGTGCAATGGCCTTGTGTAGTGGCAGGGAGCCCTGAATGATGCCTCACACTCTTTCTCTCTCTGTCTCAGGTCCTAGGGGAGCACCCCAACTACCCCAAAATCAGAGAAGAAATTTTGGAGAAGGCCCAAGGGTCTCTGAGGCCCTAGCTGTGGTTAAAGACGAGGTGGGTGGAAGCCACCAGCCTATGGAAATGTCATGGAGGGGGCAGGATGTGGGTCAGTGGAGAAGAGATTCAGAAAAGAGCATGTTCTTCTCCATTTTTACATTGAGTGATTTATTTGAATCATGCCTTATCTGGTCTAAGGGGCACCCCAAAGCTTTATGTTTTTCAGGCACAAGAAGCAATTTTGCTCTGGGGAACAAGAGACATCAACCAACTTATCTTCTGCTGGGCTCACTGAGCCTCTTCTAAGGGACCCCACTTTTATCCCAGACTCTCCAAGGGGCCAGATGGGAGCAAAGAAGTAGTTAAAAAAAAATACCCTACAGCTATTTTAATATTGTTATTATGTCAGCCCAGAAATACCTCCCCTCTCCTGTTTGGTCCCTTGAATCCTGGAGCTAAAGAAACAATGCTTTTCCCTGCCATGCTGCTCACTGC